AGTTCAAGCCCCAGTACCGCAAAAAAAAAAAATTGATTTGGGCTGGGCATGGTGTGACATACCTATAATCACCACACTTAGAAGGGTGAGGCAGGAGGATCGAGATTTCGAGAAAAGCAAGGAGCTCCTTTCTCCCTGCTGATTTGGTTGAATTACAATCAGCTGAACACAGGTTGAAAACTGTTGGTCCTTGGCTTCAGTAGGTTTTGACCTATGCCATTCAGCAGTTTTAAACTATGGGAATACTAAGCAGGACATGCTTCACAATTGGTGTTATATCTACCAGCTGTACCCAGGTACTTTTCCTACCCCAAGTGCTTTTGTGGTTGCAGCTCCTTATCCCAGAGGGAACTTGGTTTCCCTTGTTTCCAAGGAATGGATTATTCAGCAGCTACTTGCAAAGCATTTGGCTGCTCGTGTGTTCTCCTGATGACTGCTAGATGCAAGGAATCGTTTAGAAAGGGAGGAAAAGGTCAGGACCAAAACATTCCACCCAGCCTCTAGAAACAGAGCTTGGTCCCTGAGGAAAAGTGGCCTCTCTGCTGGGATTTGGCGCCAACCATTTGTTGTATGCAACAGAGGGAGCTGGGCCAATCCTTTGTTGGGGTGGAGGTGGAATGAGGGTGTCTCTGGTCATGGATTGGTATTCTCTCTGCTTCTATCAAAGTTGTTTATCTCAACAGAAATTTCTTTCTTCTATCTAAAACTCCTAAGGTAGGCACACCTAGACTGCAAGTCATCATACAAGCCAGGACCTACCTATTTTCATAGGTGGGTTACTGTGGAGTCCTGCTTCTACTCAAACTTTTCTCTGTGTGTGTTAATTTGGACTCTTCTGAGGTAACAGTCTCAGATGGGATAATCTATAAAGAAAAGAGGTTTGTTTTGGGTCAAGGTTCTGGAAGTCCATAAGCATGGTGCCCAAATTTGCTAGGTCTTTATTGAAGGCCTGGTGCTGCTCTGTGCATGGCAGCAGAATGGCAAGTGGGTGGGTACAGAGAGAGGAGGGGACAAAGGGAGTGCATTCTTTACAACAACTTGCTGTCACGGTAACTAACTCATTCTCACAGGAACTACATTAATCGCTTCATGAAGGCGGAGCCCCCTATTACTCAAACACCTCTTTTAGGACCCACCATGCTCCAATTCCATTACATTGACAAGTTTCAACATGAATGAGTTTCATTGGGGACAAACCACAACCAAATCTGAGCACTGAGTCTCAGTGCATGAGATGTGTGGGCAAATGTTGGGAGGCTCCTGGAGGCTTGCTCTAAACCATTTAATTGGGTGGTATATAATTTAGGCTTCATGGAACTCAGAGTTCAAGGGCAGCTTAACTGAAGGTCCTAACCTTCAGTTAGCAGGAAAGTTTCATCACTAAAGAAGTGTGACAATTTACCATCTCAAGGACAACTAAGCAGAGGGCTCGGGGCGTGGCTCAACTTGTACAATGCCTGCCTACCAAGGACAGCTGAGCCAGCCTAGGCATTTGTGAGGACAGAGAACAGGGACTGGCTCCAGACTTTTACCCCTTTTTTGATAGCACTCAATATTCCCACATGGCTTCAGTCAGTGACATACAAGCCAAGGAGGAAATTTAAAACACAGGCAAAGGACAAGGTGGACTTTCACCATCCATGACTTTCAGGGCTCAAGGGTCTTTGGAGGTAGATGGCATAGGGGCGAGGGGGAAGGGGTAAAATAGCAAAGGATGCTCCCTCATCCCTCTGCCCTTTGAGAAATTCTGGGGTAATGTGGGGGGGAGGCAGAAAAGTCACTTCTATGTGGGACAATAAAATACAGAAATTGAATATAGGAGCAACTTAAAAACTGTAAGTGAATTAATAAAATAATTTTTAAGTGACGTCAGGAAATAAATATTTCAAAATGTCTTGGCCTCTACCACTAAAAGTTGAATTTTCAAATGAAACTCTTCATTTCCTTACTTTTCTGACTTGGGACTGAAAAATGAAACTTTCTCAGAATCAGAAATAAAATTCTAAGCACCTCATTTCTGTCTCCCAGACCTTTTGTTCCCCCTTCCCTTCTCCCATCTAACTCTGAGATGTCACTTTCCCAAAGCCCCTGGCTTTTTCCTTCTTGGATAAGCCTGACCTGGAGACACTGAGCTCCCCCTCTGGAACAGAGAGTGAGGAGCCAGCAGCTCAAGGCTGAGTGGCGCTGAAGAAAGAAGGAAGGAGGTGTGCTGGGTTAAGCCAAACCTGCCTTTGGATCCTGGTTTCACTGGTGATTGGCTATGTGACCCTGAGAAAGTTTCTTCCCTGTCAGAGTCTATTTTCTCCTTTGTAAAATGGGAATGCAAGCTGTCCTTACCCTCTGCCTCCCCCAGCCCATAAGCCAATGTGAAGGATACCTACAAACTGCATGTCACTTACCACTACAACCCGCCTATCACTCAAAGAAGTGCCCTCAACATTTGGTTCTCAAAACCACAGGGTTGCTGTTTTGGTTGTTCCTTTCCTTCTGATACATATTTCTTCACCTTCTGGTGTTTTTTTTAAGAGAGTGACCTAGAAAGGGACAAAGTTGCTCATGGCAAGGCAGGAACTCTGGTGGGCCCAGTCAGTGAGAAAGGAGCTGAAAGCAAGGGATAAGTGAGGTTCTGAGTCAATCTCTGGGGACCCACGTGATCAGCCACTCCCCCACACCACTGGGGAGAATGAGCTGGAATCTTGGAACTGTAAGAAGAGATGCAGGTCAGACCTGAAAGTTGTATTCTTTCATAACATAGAAAGCATTCATCTTTAGAGACAGCAGGCTGGATAGGATACAAGTAAATTGTATTCAACCATGTAAACCATTTACTTAAAAAAGTCATATAAAATAATAAAAAATGTAGATTTTTGACAAGATGGCAAAATGGTAGTGAAACACATACATTAATTAAAAATTTCATCACAGATAAGTCAGATGACCTTTTGTACCATTGGGACAGCAGCATTTCAGATTTTCTTGTCATACTTGTTTATTCCTTTGGGATGTTGCTGTGTAGACACAGAAGGAACATTGCCCTGAAAACTGTAACCTACAGAAATATTGGTTAAGTTCCTTTAAGCATTTTCATGGAAATGTCAGCTGATCATGAGAAGCTGAAGTACAGGACTAGACTGAAGATCTGGGTTTGCTAAGTTAGGCAGAGCTGTCTTAGGCAGTAATTGATGGGTATTATTTTAATATAGAACCCATTAAAGTGCTAAAGACCTGTCTAGGTTCTAATACAATGGAGCTCAGGGCTACAGAGAAACTACCAACACCAAGGTTAATACTAGTTTCTACATAAAACATTCCAAATTCAGTTCTTCATGATGGAAACCATATGTTCCAAGTGCCTAACTTCTGAGCTTTAAGCTAGACCTCAGAAACTCCAAGTGGGTACCTGGAAGGTTCCTGAACATTCACCTCTAAGGAGTTTCCAGAAGGTAGCTCTGGCTCAGGGTCAGGGCACCTCTAGCCGGGGCTGTCTCTGTGTGGCTCCCAGAGTTGCTGAGATCTCACCTCCCAGATGGCTTTGTTGGAAACTAAAGCGACAGCTAGGGCTTGGGGCCTCTGGGCTCTGGCCTGGCTGGCCTCCTGAAAAATGGTGCAGCCTAAGAGAATCAGAGCCCTTGCCTTATCCTTCCAATTCAGGTTCTCCATGTGGCACAAGAATGTTTTATAAAAACAAAACAAAATTTTATCTGAGATTTCCTTTTCTTTCTGGCATTGCTTTTCACTTTCTCAAAACCTACCCATCCCTCCCACCATTAACAAACCCAAACAGAAAATGATGATTCAGGCAGCTGTTATTTGATTCATGCTTATCTCAGGACAGGATGACATAGCAAAAAGCTGAGGAAAAAAAAAAAAAACCACACACACACAAAAAAACCAGTCCATTACTGGCTTGTGATTTTCAAAGCCAAAGGTGGTTGGGGAAAAAGCCAAGGCTCCCGAGATAGCCATTGGAAGTAAGACCTTGAACACTGGTAGTCTTTGAGAACGGGTCTGCCCTGACTGGAACCCTCATTTCTGAGGAGTAGGGGTATGAAAAGAAAAATGAGCCTGTCTTCCTGAGCTCCAATCCAGAGTAGAAGTAGTTGAGACATGGACCTGGGCTGAAGAATGGGTTTTCCTGCACCTCTATGTCACCCAAGTCTTTAAGAAGGACTTTTAAGCTGTGCATGATGGTGCATTACCCATTATTGTAGTCCCAGCACTTGGGAGGCTGAGGCAGGAGGACTGTAAATTCAAGGCCAGCCTGGGCTACATAGCAAGACCCTGTCTGAAGGAAAAAGAAAAGATGAAAGAAAGAAAGAAGAAATAACTTTAATATGTCTAACTGATCTCCAGGAATGGGGCTTTTGGCGACAGCAGTAACACGACAGGGTTAATGATTAAGATTAGATGTCAGTGGTCACCTTGACAGAGGTCACTGCAGACCAGTGATACTTAGGACCACTCCTTTGGTTCTGGTTGCCAAATCAGTACCAGGAAACCCTGCCCCTCCCCTCTTACCTCCTTGACCTCCAAGGAAAGGGTACAGACTTTCTTTGCCATTTTGACAAGAGGAGAGCTAAGATTAGTTTCACTAAGGACACACCTATTTCTTTTTGTACCTGGGTTTTGGAATAAGACTTGTACTTGTCACATGTGATTTTTATCCTCCTGTCTTTGTTGCTGACATAGCAATGAAGTGAAAAAACATAAGGCCAATGTCTAGTCAATGCTTGTCATATGCTCCAAGTCACTGAACTGCAGCTACATACTGGGCCTTATGGCAATCTTAGAGTTCCACTCTCTTGCTCCCCCATCCATTTTATAAGAAAGGCTGTGCCCACAGTGTGTTCAGGAGAGGCGAGGATTGAAGTGTCTGGTGGAGAATCCGTGCTATCTGTTAGTCTGGCATCTAGGCATTGGGCGAGCCACTAGTCCCATTTGTCCAGGGATGACTCGCCCTGTTGGAGTAGGCTGTGTAGGCCAAGCAGGCCAGCTTTGCTTCAGTCCTGACCGCCGGTCAATTTGTGAAAGAGGTCTTCATCGAGCATTTCATTCTGATCCTTGGAACGGGTGGACAAGAAAATGTAGCCACCGATGTACTCATGCACGATCTTACAGTCCGCACTCAGACAGGTAAAGGCGATGAAGACGTTTTGGTCAAACTCGATTGCCACCTGGAAGGGAAGGTCATGGATAGGTTTAAACTCTGACAAGGAGATGGCCCTGGGTCTGAGGGCTGCTGAGGTGACCAACAGATGCATGTCTCCCCCAAATCACACAGAAAACCATTTCCATTCAGCACTTTCAGAAAACATGTATTTATTCTCTTTGCGCCCTCTTGTGGTGTCAACTTGGACACAAAGCATTCCTTGCTCCCAGCCCATAAACACATTTTCCATCTGTTCACGTGCCAGTTTAGATATAAGAATTTCCTAAGCACTCCCTGTGTCAGGATAGTTTGCAGACTCTTTAATGGAGAATAAAAAGCCTCCCTGAGTTTTCCAACAGCCTTGTACCCTTTCCCAGCTGAAAGTCATAGACTCTAAGCACCAGAAGACTTAGCGACTTGGCTGGTTCTCATGTCCATGGGCTCCCCACTGGAATCACCTGTGGAACTTTAAATACTCATTGATGCCCAGCACCCACTCCCAGAAGTTTGTATTTAATTGGTTTTGTGTTGGCCTGGACTGTGGTATTTTAAGGCTCCCCAGATCTTAAAGATCCTGTGGACTCCGGCCTTCACTCTACAGTGGGTGCCCAGTAGTTATTAGTACTACCGAAAGGAATCCAGGGTTCTTAACAAAAAGTGTGGGTCTCATACCGTTTCTCTGCGTTGACAGTTTTCTACTGAAAATAGGAGAATGCCAAAGGAACAAGGGAAGATGATTCTAAATCAGCAACAGCAGACTGACCTGCATCAACAGTGGCATGTTGAGAATTTAGAGTCTTCCATGATGTAGGCTTGGCCTGAACATGGTTTCTAGAGGTGGGACAGTGAGAGGCTGTGACTCTGCCTGAGGGTTTGAGGGCTCATCTCAGAGGTGGAGTTTTTCCTCAGTCATTTCTGTGCACCTCACTTGCTCCTCCAGTACTTTTTCCCTCTTGGGACAACTGAGCCTTTTGTTCTACCACTAGTTAGATCTCTGTAGTCAGTCAGATGAGGCCTTTTTTTGATTTATTTTATAAGAAATGAGCATCCTAAATCTTTTTTTTTTTGTGGGACTTGGGGTTTGAACACAGGGCTTTGCAGTCACAGAGCAGGTACTCTACCTCTTGAGCCTCCAGTCCATTTTGCTCTGGTTATTTTGGAGGTGGGAGCCTTGTGAACTGTTTGCTTAAATTGGTCTTGAGCCATGAACCTCCTGCTCTCAGCCTCCCAAGCAGCCAGGATTATATGTGTGAGCCTCTGGCACCTGACTCAGACTCTAAATCTTACATAATCCTATGGTAAGTCTATGAAAATTAAACTACCCAGCTATTTTACAGCCTATCTGTATGGAAAGCCAACTTGCAGTGTTAACTGAAGAACATTCGTCTTGTACTTATTAAGAAACTGCCCAGAATTGCACGTAATTGTTTTAAGCAGATAATTACATGCCTACGGTACACCTTTTAAAAATCAGAATAATCTGAAATTCTGAGGGAACACACATTGACAGGCTCAGCACAGAATACCAGAAACTTCCACTCTACCTGTCGGATTTCCCAGTTGACATTCCACTGTTTCATATTGGCAAATCTCCATGTTGTAATTGGAATCCCGGTGACTGCATCAATTCTAATCAGCCTATTATATGAAACTCCCAAAATGTCATCTTTCTTGATTCCTTTAAATCTAAAACAAGTAGAAAAGCAACTGTTCAATGTGGGTTGTAATACACATGGCATGGAAGCAATGCTAGGAGTCTTTCTGATAGCTGTCTTTATCTCAAGCCAGCAAAAATGCAATGTCTTTATTATCTCTTATGTTTTCTCTTCAACAAAATTGGAGAAGAGGAGGGTGGAACAGGTTCTGCCTGGAAGTGAGGCAGGGAGGGGAGGAAGAGTCGGGGTGGGGGCAGTGGGGAAAGGTGGCCCAAACAATGTATATGCATATGAATAAATGTATAAACAATAAAAAACCTAAAGTGTCACAGGGTATACCTGAATAAAATCTGAATACATTAAAATTAAAAAAAAAAAAGAAAAAGCAAAGCAACTATTAGTCACATGCAACTTCTTAAAGATGATTGGATAATAAAATTTCCCAATTATTTTGGAAGGATAGCAATGAAGAGAATATGAATAGAGAGAATTCAAGCTGTCCTCAAGACACTCTTAAAGTGAAATTGAAATCAGAGGAAAATAAAATAAGAGGGAGTCAAACCAGTTCATTCAACATTAGCACCAACTGTGCATGCCAGGAATCTTTCTAGGCAAGGGGATATTTGGTGAACTGCACAGATAGAATATTCTTGGCTACTGGGGAGAGGGGATCAGGAACAAGTGAAGTAAATTGGCCAGATAAGATCATAAGGGAAAATAAACCACAGAAGATAGATAGGAACTACTGGCATGAGGTTTCAATTTTAAATAGTGAGGTCAGAGAAAGTCTCGGTGAGAAGGTGACATCTGATCAAAGAGCTGATGATGGGATGGTGAATCATGAAGGGGGCGCTGTTTCTCATGCTCCCTCCCTTGCTAGAGCGAGGTTTTCTCTCTCTGGCTCGCTCCTTGGTTATTACTGGACCTAACTGGGCTTAACTGGGGGCAAATGGAGATTTTAGAGAAGATATAAGATAAACAAAGAAATTTGGGGTCAGGTGTGTTGTATGCTCAGCTGGAGACACACAAACTCCATTGCTTCTTTTCTCTATCTTGATTCTTTAAGGTCTTTCTCCTCGTAGTTCTTTAAAACCTTGCTTAAAACCTCTTTGCTGCTGGTGGAGTGGCTTAAGTGGTAGAGCACCTGCCTAGCAAGTGTGAGGCCCTGAGTTCAAACCCCAGTGCCCCTCCACCCCCCCCCCCGAAAAAAACAACAAAAAAAACCTCTTTGCTTAGGCTCGCACTGTCCCACGTTTGCGCTCAGCTTATCTTTAACTTAATTGCTCTTAGTCTTTTGCCCCCAGGCTTGCACTGTCTCATCTCTCTTTTGCTCTCTTAAAGCCTGGGTGCTACAAACTTGCAAACAGCCACACCTACAACCTGCATATGCATAACTCTTAAAGTCTTGTCCTTAGACTTGCACTGTGCACTGTCCCATGTTCTCTTTGGGTTTTCTTTAGCTTTCCTTAGTCCTCTGTATGAAGTTCTTTCTCAGCTTTGCTTTCTGAAGCCTTCGTTAAAGTTCTCAGTGCAGACTTTCTATCAATTCCTCTTTAGCATTTTCCCTTCAACAATTCTTTTCCCTTCAATAATTCTTTTCCCCGCCAAAAGCTTCCCACACCAAAAAGCCCAAAGGAAAGCCACAAAAGGCAAGCGCCAAAAGCCCCTCTCCCTCCTTCAGGGTCTTTTATAGCAGCAAACAGAGTGGAGCCATGGGGAGGGGCATAAGACATTGAACAGGAGAAACCTGCATTCCTGCTTTTCTGAACGCAATTTGAGATGCAGCTGTTCTGCCTTTCCCTGTTTCGTGGCCTAGGCTGTGCCTATCTCGGCCTACAGGTAAAAGCAATTTACTGCAGCTCGCCTTGCTTGTGTCCAGTTCTCATAGGCTTTAATCCACTCCCCACAGAATCACATGGATGTCTGGAGAGAGAGTATTCCAGGCGGAGGGCACAGCCATGTGGCACATGCATACTCTGAAGGAACTGCCAGGAGGACAGTATGGCTGGCACAGTGAAGGAAGGGAGAAGAATGTGACAGCGAGTTGAGGCCACACAGGCCATTGCAAGATCTGGCATTTACTCTGAGTGACACAGAGTTTCAAAAGCAGAGGCTGACATGGTCTGACTTTGATTTTTAAGAGTCATTTTAGCTGCTAAATTGAAAACCTAAGGGATGAGGGTAGAAGGCAGGGAGACCAAGGAGGACCACTGTGGACCTGGCCTGGGTAGTGGAGGTGGCAAGAAGGGATCAGATGCTGCGTGTACTCTGAAGGCAGAGCCAATAGACAGGATGTCAGTGTAAGACAAACAGCGAGTCAGGAGTGACTCCAAGGGACTTTAGCCTGACGGACTGAAGGGAGGAGTTGCCTTTAGTGAGATGCAGAATAATGCAGGGGGCTGGTCTTGGGGAAAACATCAGGAGTTTGGACTTGGTAAGGTGAGATGCCACTCATTAGACACCCAAGGGTAGTGGACGTCTGAATCTGAGGTTCAAAGGAAGCACTCTGAGGAACCAGTGTATAAAAGAAGCCAAATGAATGGTTGAGCTTTAAGAGGGTGAGTGTAGATTGAGGAGCGCTTGAAGACCTGAGGCCTGTGCACTTTGGTATCATAAGAGCCTGGGAAGATGAGAAAGAACTGGCCAGTGAGGGAGGAGGAAACCCAGGTAAGTCAGCTGTGTTGGGAGGCAAGTGGGTCAAGAAGGAGGGCGTGATTCACAGTCAAACTCTGCTGACACAAAGCCTGAGAGATGACCACTGGATTTTAATGTGAAAGTCATGGGTGACCAATGGGTGTCCTTGATGAGGCCAAGCTGGGAGGCAGTGGAGTGATCTGTGGGTCCTGGAGAAAATATTAGAAAGTAACTGAGATGGTGGGTAGGTACAATATGTTCAAGAGAGATGCTACAAAGGGGACAGAGATGGGGGACAGCAACTAGAGGGATATGAGGATGGATGCTGATGTGAAAATGGATTTTGCAGGACAGGGAAAAGTATAATTTGAGAAAATATATCTAGTTGAATAAACTACCTTCTACATCTTCTTAAAATTATTTTTGATTAAAGTTAATTTTTTTCTGGAATCATTCTCATACCTTTTATTATTCATTCTGCTACATTAATGCTTACTATCACAGGTTAACCCTTTCTTGCTCCACCTGCTGCTCTCTAGCCTCCAGGCAGTTGTAAAGCAGGGACCCAGGTTACTTGGAGTAGGCAGATCCCTACACATGGAGCCTCTGACTGGCTTTGGAAAAGGCAGATTTTTACCCAGCCTAGGGCTGCTGCACAAACAGGTGCTGGAGGTGGAGTTAGGGGAAGAGGGACATGAAGGGGGAAACAGTTGGCAAAAGGGGAAATAGTGTGAAGGACTGACTGTCCAGTTTGCACAGGGCCCACCCACACTTCACAGTTTATCAGGCACACAACTTGCAGATTCATTGGATTCTCTCAACAGAGCAGGTTCAGAACGTCCACTAAGCAAGTGCAGCTGAGGGTTGGTGAGGCCAATGAAAGTGCTCAAAGTCACAGAGCTAGCAGGGGCACAGGTTGGTGGGGGCTCAGCCTGCTTAGCTCAAGTGACCATGTTCTTTCCACCCTGTAGGGCTGCAGAGTTATAGGGAAGTGTGTGTATGTGTGTGTAATATACAAAGGTGTCCATGCACAGATGTGCACAACTTTGTCCTTCCTCATTCTTTTTTTTTGGCGGCAGTGCTAGGGATCAAACTCAGGGCCTTATGCAGGCCTAGGCAGGCCATCTACCATTGAGCTAAATTGCTAGATCTTGCCTTTGTTCCCCCCCACCCCAGCGCTGGGGTTTGAAGTCCAGACTTCATACTTGCTAGGCAGATACTCTATGATTTGAGCCACTCTGCCAGCCCATGCCTTTATTTTTTTGAGGCAGAGTTTGGCTATGCAGCTCAGACTAGACTTCAACTCATGATCCTCTTGCCTCTACCTCCTGAATGCTGGGATTACATCATGCCCAGCCTCCCTCATTTCTTTGCTTGGGTGAATAAAGCAGAAGGAGTCCTCATTTTGATCAAATGGGGGAGACAGAAGTTAAATGAAATATTTTAGTGTACAGAAAAGTCTGAATAAACTGCCCTGCTAGCAGAGCTAAGAGAAACTGGGTCTTTGGAAAGAGCCAAGAAAATAAAGAAAAGTATACTTTTGTATGAGTCAGTGCTTTAAAATATAAAGCAATCTTCCAGTTTCTAAGTTATGAAATAAGAAAATGACAGAGTATTTGCTATTATACAAGATTAACTGTAAATTTGCTAATGCATCAGTCTTCCTTACTGAATTAAAACATTTAAGTTGATTTTAGGCATGCTTCTAGACGCATTTTGGAAAACCATTCACTTCATACAGTGCAGTGAGTCATCACACATGGTCCAGATTACCAATGAGGACACTGGACTCTATGGCAAGGAGTGTCCCTGACTAGCAGATGAATTAGACAAGTCACTGATGCTCTTCTTCTTTTTTTTCGTATCTCAGTAAATACAAAGGGACAATGGATGAGCCACCTACAGGGCCTTCAGACAGAAATCTTCAGAGATCAATGGGAACAGGGGCACCACCTGAAAAGGCTGAGTGAACACAAGGCACAAGGTTTGTCAGGGTCTCTATGTGGAAACCAACAGTTCTGCAAAGCCACACATGGCCATGCTGTGAGATACACTACAAGGAGGAGGAACCTGACATGAAAGAAAGCCACAGAGTTCATAAAACCAGCAGCTGGCATCCTCCCTCTGGTTTTGCAAAGGTAGTTATCTTAAAAGAACAAAATCTGCTTTTAAAATCTTAACATTTCCTTCCTCACATTTAGCTGGCACTTTGAACAGAAGGTATGAAAAGTTCTGAGGAGTAGCTGAACGTGTTTAGACCATATGCAAAAGGGCAAAATTCTAAAATAAGAAGAGTTTGAAATTCTAGACTAAAGTGAGAACAAACTGGGCTTCAAGAAAGTCACTTAAAACTGAATGAACACCCACAGTGGGCGTACATTGAGATACCCCTTTGAACATTGACTTAAATATTAATAACAAAAACCAGGAAAAAAAATTGAAAGGACTTGATGGCACACACCTCTAATCCTAGCATTGAGGAGGTAGAGGTAGGAGGACCAAGTGTCTGAGGCCAGCCTGTCTATATAGTGAGACTGCTCAAAACAAAAACAAAAGCAACCCCTCCAAACAATAATAACAACCAAAAAAAAAAAAAACCCAAAACAGCACAAAGAAAGAATGCAAAGTGAGAGAGACAAGGAAACACTGTAATCACCGGACAAGGTAGTAGGTGGCCAAATTCAGGTAGGGACTGCCAGGCCTGGATGAACCGCAGCTTGGCTTCAACCAGGGACATCTGGGCCACATTCTGGTGGGCTTCCAGGATCCGAGCTGCCAGCTAAGCAGAAACAGGAGACATGAAACTCTCCACAGTGTTCACCAATTGCTTTGTAATCATATTAACTCCAGATTCCCAATGAGAACAATTAATTCAAAGACCCACTGCCATTCTACATTGACAATTTGTTGTCATTCGTTCATCCATTCACTTTCTCCTCTTTGCTAGAAGACGTGAAAATCACCAGGGAGAAGGTGGAACAAGAGCAGTCAACACATGTGCTTCTAAGGCTCGTGAGGATGGAGGGTGCTGGGTCCTTCTTTCTGGGGTCTGCACCAGAAAGCATCCACAGACAGTGATTCTGCTTGAGAAGCTCATCTGTGCAACTTTCAACTCACTCTCATGAAAGCATAATTTTCATGTTTAGTTTGTGGGGACTAAACAATTTATTCTTAATTAAGATCAATCTGGGACTATTACCACATTCAGTTAGCAGTATAGTCACCTCTAACAAACATTAACAGTAATTCTTTCTTTCTTTCTTGGGGTATTGGGGGTTGAACTCGAGGCCTCACACTTGCTAGGCAGACACACTACCACTTGAGCCATGCTGCCAACCCCTTTTAAGATAATAGGATCTTGCTTTATGCCCAGGCTGGCCTGGGCTACAATCTTAATTTATGCTTCCCCTTGCAGCTGGAATAACAGGCACAAGGCGCCATACCCAGTCATTGGTTGAGAAAGAAGTCTCCTGAACTTTTTGCCTGGGCTGGGTTTGAACCATGATCCTTCAGATCTCTATGTCCTGGGTAGCTGGGATCACATGTGTGAGACAATGCACTCAGCTAGTAATTTCATAATATCACCTAATATCCAGTACATAGTCAAATTTCCCCATCAACCGATTCTTCATGATAATGGTCTTAATCAGAGGGAATTCCTCCTTTTATTTCTGAACATAATTTATGTGAGTAACTGGCCAGATAAGATTAGCAGTACCTGTTTAGACTTGTATTTTTTTGCACACCGAGGTGATACAAAACTTTCTGGGTTCATGTCCATGCTTTCAACACTGGAAGCCACCTGAGATGATGAGTTCCGGTTTTTCATCCTCAGAAATGAAAGGATATTGAGGACCTCTGGCTGGTAGGAGCTGTCTGCCATGGTTTTGCCCTTCGATGCCAAGACACAAGCAGCCATCCACCGGGCATATTGATTCTCCTGCAACAAATTCCAGAGGGCTCAGAAATAAGTTCAAGTGCAAAGCCAACTTGCTGAAAACAGAACAAAGCTTAGGCTATACTATAAAACATTACCTTCCGAGCAAGAAAAGACAGGAAGTGGTGCCTATTCTCAGTGACTGGTAACAAACATCCAACAATAGGTATTAAGTTTCTAGACGTTAAGGGGCTAGATGACAGGAATGTCAGCTTCGATCCATTTTATACAGGGGTTTTTGCATTTAATGAGGACCCAAGAACACAAAGGCTCCTGTCTGGAGCCCAGACATGTAAAAATACAAGTTACCAGAGAGTTCCTAGATACATATTTCTATTTTCATACAATGTCTCATCTCTGACAAAAAAAAAATTGAAAAAAGTCATTGACCAATTTCCTGCATTGTTTCAGGGCCATGGATGGGATCTGAACCAGCTAATGGCAATTCTACTATTCTGTTAATTTTTGGGCTCCTTTTAGGCTTCAGTGAGAGAATGGGTGTGGTCTCCAGCTGAAGGGTACAGTAAATAGGGGATTCCTCACAGCAATAGTTGGTGTGGCATACTGAGTCACTGGCCTCAATCTTCAGCCTCCTGGTCTCCATACCCTTTGCCATGTTACTTGACAGTCCATCCCTCCTGAGTTAGAGTATAATTTCTATCCCTTCCCTTCCATCCACACTCATGTGTGATTTGCTTTAGGCAATGGAATGTGGATGGAAGCGACAGTTTGAAGCCCAAGCTTTAAGTGGCCATTCATGTTCCCAGTTGCCCTCTTGCACTTCTCCCATCATCATGAAAGAGCTCCCTCTAGGCAGCCTCAGACCAGAATAAATAAAATGAGTCCAAACTGCAGCAAGGACACAAGCCTCACTAGACCTATAGCTCAAAACAGATTTGACCAGCCGACACCAGCTTGAAACATCAGACCCCCAGCCTACCTGCAAATCTTTCAGAAACAAATGTTTATTGTTGAATGACATTGTTATTTTGTTGCATTGTGATCTTGTTCCAAAGCAATACCTGACTGACCAAAAAGTGTTCAATTTGAGAGAATATCTTACAGATGGTCCCCCATTTACCCTCATTCTACATTGATACTTCAATTATACCATGGCATAAAAGCAAAACCATTTTGTTTTTCATTTTCAGATAGTATTCAATACATTACATAAGATACTTAACACTTTATTGTATAATAGGCTTTGTGTGAGATGATTTTGTCCAACTATTAGGCTGATGTGGATGTTCTGAGCATGGTTAAGGTAGGCTGAGCTAGGATTTCAGAGTTTTAGTTGTGTTAAACACATTTTTGACTTAATGGCATTTTCAAATAAAGACAAGTTTACTGGGACACAACCCCGTTATAAATGGAGGAGCATCTGTATGTTTTTCTCTTAGGCTTCATAAAGGTAAAGTGACTTAAGATTTTTGTGATTTTACTTACATGGTCACATCTCAGATACACTTCATTCATACCATCAGCGACAGGGATTAGTAACTTGATTCCAAATTTTTTCCCTGATACATTCACATCTGGCACAACTTCACAGCCTGAAGGACAAAAGGCAGGGAAAAAACTGAGTTCTGAAGAATCTGTTACAATAAATATCAGGCATGTATCTAAAGTAAAGACTTTGAATGTAAACCCCTCAGATTTGATTCTCTTCCAAAAAATGGAGAAGCAAGCAATAGCAGTTAAAGAAAAATAAAATAAGACATAAATAATTAACATGGATAAAGAAAAATCATTTTCTTTTATGATTTCCTTAAATCAATCGACATGATTTTCAGGATGATATCAAGCACTCTTAGGAATAATTATGAACATGAAATTTAAAAGAGATGAAGGCAGAGGCAATTGCCAAGATGATGAGAGTTGAGTACACTCGTTGATTAAATATTTTTAAGTTATATCAGCACACTTATAGTCACTTTCAGAAGTTAGAACAGGCACTAATGTGACACTGAATTAAACATAACTGTTCTTGGCTTTATTTATTTTGCAGTGCTAGGGGTCAAACTGAGAGTCCTAAGCACATGCTCTACCACTGAGCCATTACTGATCCTGAATTCAGAAAGCTTCTCAGGATCTCACAATGTCTTGAGTGCTATACTGAATGGACACCAGCCACCACTCCTTCATAGACTCTGGACACACTGGGAAACAAGGGACAGTAGAACACAAATACCCACATTGACTAGCCCATAACCAAGGTCCATGTGCCAAGAGGAAGAGGAGCTGCCATTTGGAAAACCATGACACACAGAGGTTCCTCCAGAAGTAACCTTGCTTCATTTTGTAGGACTATTGTCTTCAATCTGCTTGCTGAGTCGTGACCAGCCACAGTGAGATGCAGGATGCTCTTACCTTTCAGATTTAGCTTTTCTACTGGTTCTCCTTGTTCAAGTTCCTTCGTTTTAAAGTAGGCTATTGATGTGTCTTTAAAGACAAACCAATATTGTTTGAAAGCTTTTAACATTAGTTTCTTGGGCCTGCAAATGAAAGTATAGTAAACATTTAAACCACGATCCAGGACTGCAGTACACATAGCAAATTCTGGGACAGATTGAGGTGCTTCAGAGGCCCTGTAGACAACACATTCCTTATTTTTAAAACACATCTCAATTTGCTAACTCTTTTCCTCTCTTCTTTTCCTTTTTTGTGGTGCTGGGGATCAAACCCAGGGCTAGTGCATGCTAAGTGTGCTCTACCACTGAGCTATATCCCCGGTGTGCCAACTCATTTTTAAAAGCTAGCAAGGGGGGTGATGCTATATAATGCAGAGGTTAATGTAGAAGCTCAGGAGTTAGACCTCTGCGTCCACACTCGGGTTCTGCCGCTGTCTATGTGATAAAGACAGGAGCAGCCTTGAACTCACATGGCTTGTGTGAGGATGGATTGAGGTCATCTATGTGAGGTGCTTATCACCATGCCTGGCACAAATGAAGTGCTCAGTAAGTTATTCTGATGACCTGGGAAACCTGCATGATTCTCGCACCACGTGAAATCTCAGCATACTTCCTGGATCTAAAAACAGCTGTTGATATGGAGAGTACAAGCTTCAGGTTAACAGACACAAAAACCAGTGACAAAAGTGAGCAATCTTTTTCTGCATAGTTTTCTATTAACCCTTCAGAGAAGCCACCAAATCAGGAAGTTCTCAAGACCCTGTCTCAACCAATGGCTGAGTGTGGGGGTACATGCCTTCACCTACGCAGGGTTGCACAAATAAAGAGTACTGTGCCTCAGGCCAGCTTGGGCATAAACTGAGACCCTATCTCAAAAATAACCAACTCAAAAAGTGCTGGTCCAATGGCTCAAGTGGTAGAGCTCCTGCATAGCAAGCATGAGGCCCTGAGTTCAAACCCCACTATCACACACACACGAAGCTACCAGGAAATTCCCAGTTAAGTCATCTCGCTGTATCAACTAGACTGTTATGGGAAAAAAAGATTTTGGGTTGGGGGAAAGACATCCAACAGCGTTATTCGTTAGGGCCAAAAAACTCTGTGGCCTGTGCTAGACAAGGTTGGTGGCGCTTGTAACAGGTCTAAAGGTTGTGCTATTTGAAACAGAAAATGTGAATGAGAGCTGGGGGTAGGAAAGAAGGGATTATTAGGCAAAGAAAAGAAAAAGTGACTTGTATATGGTTTGATGGAACAATCCTGAGCTTGGAACTGGATCAGGGTATCTCTTGACAGAGAGTAGTCTATTCTCTACATTCAAGAACAGAAGAGGGCTGGCAGAGTGGCTCAGTGGTAGAGCACCTGCCTAGCAAACACAAAGCCCCGAGTTCAAGCTCCAGTATGTCCCCTCACTCCCACCCCCCAAAAAATAGCAGTAGAGAGCAAGTTTGGTGTTAATGCTGTCCTGTAGTATTTTGAATACATCAGTAATGTGTTATCATCAGCACAAAGCCACACAAAAACAAACGAAACTCCAGTGTATTACAGGAGAATATTATACAAAAATATAAAATAAATGAGAAGAACATTATACGGAGTTAACACTTCCTGTGCACTAAAATAGTATTTACCATGTTGAGAATTATAATTAATGTAATTGCATGGAAAATATTTGTTTACACTCAGATTCTTGGAAATGGGAAGTATTTTCAAAATAAAATCTACAGGCACAGCCTCTAACCAAAAGATGTGGGTAGCAAGGTCTTGGTTTAATGCGAGGCATCCAGACCTTTCTCTTTAGCGTTAAGAATGAAAACTTTTCCGTTTCTTTTTAACGGGCCTCTAAGAGTATCAAAAGATCTAAAATTCCTCCTACTATGTCTTTCCAGTTTGGTTTCCAACTTATCAACAAAACTAACAATCATGGCCCTATTCTGTGCTCTAGAGGCTAGGGTAAGACAGGGCAGGGGTAGAGGGTGGAGGAGTTGGCTGGGTGAGGAGTGATTTACAGAAAAAGACAGTGTCTTCAATCCTCACAGATCACACAGTTTAAATAAAAAAATAAAATAAGTAAATACAAAGAACATTGTAAACCATGTAACAAGGTGTGGAGAGCTCACAAGTTGCATTTAAACTGCAAATGAAGGATGAGTATGAATTTTTTTGAAAGAACAGGGAAAAGAAATTTCAGAAGGTGGTCATTGCTGGTGCACAACAAAGTGCACAGGTGCGTGAGAGCTGAGTTAACCATTTCTTAAAACACCTACCTCTGGCTGGGCACTGTACCGAGGAGAAATGGGGAGCAGGGAGAGGGGAGTCTCTGTGGCTTCAGCATTTCCATGTGTGGGGTATCATGGCGACAAGAACAACAGATAGGTGGGGCCAGTGTAGATCTTTGCTCTGCTAAGGAGCTGGGCTTTATATTTTAGGAGAGTTCACAAACACCTGCATTTATCAGAACTGAAGGGGAGCTCGTTAGAGAGTCCCAGACATCCAGACCCCGCAGGCGCAGGTCAGGACCTGGCCACCTGCACTGAAATAAACTTTCCTAAGATCACTGGCCACCACCAGCCATCTCGGAACTGTGAATGGACTCACCCTGTGTTTAAAATCTTTTGAGCATCTACCCTCAACATGCATATAGTTATTTGTAAACTATGCCACTGTACTATTATAAATATTATAAAGCCTGTATAAAATATGAATGCAAAATGAGTGAAAATTTCAATTTATTTCAAGGGAAGTTGTTAGTCAAATAAATTCCAATGATTTATGTTGGCTGTGAGTATTAAATCAAAATGCTTGTATTTTTTTTCCTATTAGGATACCCAAAGCTTTTAGCCTTCATTGTCCAAAATGGGAGAGAGATCACTGCTGAACCAGGTGACATACCTTTTAATATTGCCAACCTGTGTCAAGGGTACAGTGCTCATATTTTAATGCCATCTACATATTTGTAAAAACAAATTTTTTTAATGAGATGGGCTTGAACTTAAGGCTTTGTGCTTGCAAAGCAGGCATTCTACCACTTGAACCATACCTCTAGTCCATTTTACTCTGGTTATTTTGGAGATGGGGGTCTTGTTATTTGCCCAGGCTGACCTCGAACCTTGATCCACCTGATCTCAGCCTCCCAAGTAGCTAGGATTACGGGTGTGAGCCACAGGCTTGCAGCTATTTGTAAAATTTTTTATGGAGACAAAGCTACTAATTTCCATCTTCACTGATGTTAATCACTCACTTATGCAAATTAATTAGAATATGTCACATTTTCACACTTTTAATAAGTAGGTTTCAAGTATATAAAGTTCTGGTATTGGATATGTAACAGAAACATTCTGTTTCCAAGTTTTAAAAATATGTAGATTATATATATATTTAAAAATCACTTTGTTAAGGTATGATTGGCATATTAAGAGTTGCGCACAATATATAAATCTTGATGAATTTGAGGATAAGTACACAACCTAAAACCATCAAGGTCATATATATTCATCATCTCACAACTTTTCCTCCTACCGCCTTATTACTATTTTTTTCTGAGTGTGATATGAACATTTAATTTTCTTAGCAAGTTGCCCTGTGCTGCATGGTTAGGTCTCCAGAACTTAAGTGTATCTCACGTCACTGAAACTCTGTACCTTTCAACCATCACCATCCTCTCTCCACTTCCCTAGCCTCTGACAACTGGTCATCTTGCTCCCACTTTGGGAACTTTTTTTGTTTTGTTTTGATGGTTCTGGTGGGGTTTGAATGCAGAGCTTTGCACTTGCTAGGCAGGCACTCTACTACTTGAGCCATGCCTCTGTTCCTATGAGTTGATTATTTTAGATTTCACATAGCTATTAAGTGAAATCATATAGTTTTTGTCTTTTTTATAGTATCATTATTTCTAACAATGGAATCATTTCAGGAAAGCTGCTTTCAAAATGCTGTTTTCACAACACTAATATTTTTCAAAAACTGGTTATAGTCCACTTATTTTACAATCACTTTTTACCTAAAGGAGAGATAACTTTCTCTTATCAATGCCTGGCCTTATCAAGATGTGGGTTTATGGGTTGGGGGTGTGGCTCAAGCAGTAGAGTACCTGCTTAGTAAGCATGAAACCCTGAGTTCAAACCTTGGGACTGCAGGGGAAAAAAAAAAGTGTGCATTTATACAGATTTATTTTGCTTGAGATTTGTGACTTCTGAATTTAAGAACTTTTGTCTTCAAGATTTATGGAATATTCTCCAGTAGTCTCTTTCCAATGCTCCCTTCTCCTTCAGTCTTTCCTCTGGAATTCTGCATAGATTCTGGTTGAGCCTTCTTATTTTACCTATATCATGTTTTTCATTTGTACCTTTCTGGGTTCTTTTTCAACTGTGTCTTGTAATTTGATGTTTAGTATACCTAATTTACAATTTGTATGACTATATTTTTTACTTCTAGAATTTCTATTTGAATCCTTTTCAATACTGCCTGCTCTTTCATTATAATCCTTACTTTTCAACATACTCATTTTATGGTTTTTCTTTTCTCTATGGATTTTAACAACTGTATTTGCTAGGGCTTCATAGGTTTTGTGTTCCTGCACCAGTTTTTATGTAATTGTTTTCAGGATTCTCTTTGCACTTAAGACATTTGCATTTATAGCTACATCTGGGTGTGGCAGCAGCCTTGACTTTTATTTCTCAAGGAAGACTTTTCATTTCCCCACAACACCCAATGAAAGGATGAACTCTATTCTGTGCTAAACAGAGAAGGTGGCCCTTATAAATTTCTACCTTTAGGCAGGCCCTTCATTCTTGCTTCCTGCTTTATATTGGGCCATACAGCTTTATTTCCTGTCCCTAGGTGGGTTAAAAATACCAGCCCCAAGGCATGAGAACTGATATCCAAGTCCTAAAATCCCTGTAGGGTCCCTCTTTATTTCATAAAACTTGAGATTATGATCATTTTCAAATTTATAATTCTTTTATTTTATCCTGTATTCATATGGATTTATTGCTGGAAACTGATGCGTACTGTTTATATAGTGGGTTTGAAAGATTTTGTTTAGAAAAATAAAGAGCTTCACGATAGAGGAAAAAAATCAAATCAAAGGACAAGTCCAATGCTCTGATACTGATGTAGACCAGAGGATCAGGGAAGTGAAGAACGTGTTAGAAGTCGCACTCTTACTAGAAATAGGGCTCTCTCCCCTTCATCCCTCTGTCCCTCCCTCCCACAGAGAATATGGCAACCCAATCTGTAGAACAATTATGACTATTTTATAAAGGTGTATTTGTAGCTTCAAATTGTCCCTTTTTTTCCTGCAGCTCTGACTATAAAAAAAATGAATTAATTGTGGTTATAGCTATTTATGCCACAGAGGTTAAATTAATGACCGTATTGTCTGAGACCTCATCCTGCCATCACACACACAAAACAAAAACAAAAACAAAGTGACCTTTGGATACTTGTGTCTCATTTACGCCTGATTCAGTTTTTAAGTTTTCCTTTGCATCTTGTATTATCAAAAGCAACCTTCATTTCCCAGAAAGCGAGCTACCCCAGTGAAGTGTTGGTTTAAGAAAAGTCAACAAACCATAAAGTGACACAGGTAACTGATAGAACTTCAAAAGGCCTTATTTCTTTTATCCTAACACACCTTGCCACCACCACAAAGGCCATAGTCCTTTCTATGATGAAAACAAAACAGAAACCTGCTTGGCTTTTTAGCAGTTTCCAATGGACCAACATTTAAATAGGTGAAGGTAGATGAACGTACTATTGCAAAAGCCCAGGTCAACTCTTATACTGCCAAAGAGCCTTCAAATGGTGTAAGAGTCCAGAGCCTCCAAGATGGACTTCCTGGAAGCTGCAGCCTGGCACATATGTTCATTATTGCTGAAGCTAGCCATGCTTAAACCACTGTTTAGTGAGCGTGTGCTATGAGCCAGGCACCATGTTACATGCTTCAAAGTGCCATCTTATCTAATCCTTCCAACAAATCCAAGAGGAGGAATATTCTCATTTTATAGATCAGGAAACTGCAGCTCAGGAGACATGAAAACACTCTCAAGGTCACCCAGCTGGTGTGTGTGGTGGAGGTAGGATTCAAGCCACTGTCTGTCTCATACCAAAGCCCACAGTTTTACCTTTAAACCATGAACTTGCCTAATGGCTGTGCAATTATGTCCAATCCTGGACCCTACCCGCAAGGGTTTGTTACAAGGAACACCTTTTCCTCTTAAAAGTTTACTTACCTAAATAACTTGAGATTATCTGCAAGTTTAGGGATGTCCGTAATGTCCTCCTAAGGAAAGGAAAAACCGTAATGTTTCATTAGCAGAAATTTCATAGATGGAGCTGGCATGCTATACCTGCATCAACCAATATGGCAGCCATTTGTGGCAACATGTGGCTTTTAAAATGTGAATGAATTCAATAAAATAAAATGAAATGAAAAAGTTCAGTTCCAGTAGTCACCTCAGGGAGGAGGAGGAGGGTTTGGAGTGGAATGGGGACACGCGGGCTCCTGGGTGGCTGGGAAAGCTCTGTTTCTTGATTTTAGACAAGGACTTGGGGGATCATTTAATGCCAATTTGTCGATTCATACATTTATGTTTTTCAGTTTTCTGTACGTGTCATAGATGACAAAAGTGTAAAAAAAAAGAGAGGGAGATTAAAAGGTTGACTAACACTTCCCTGTTTTGACTTGAACTTCCATTCAAGTTCAAAGTTTGAGCTAAAATGTCTATTCTATGTAGAAACAAAATCTTTTGCAATTCTTATGTCAAAGTGGGGAACTGTGGCTACATCCAAGTCACTGATTAAACTCAAAGGAGCCTGGTTCAAAGTTCATTCTGCAAGTGAACTTCTCACACCAAGAAGTGTCACACAAAAACACTGAAGGAAGGAGGGAAATTTTCATTTATTCCAAGAAGGATCACTTTCCTATTCTATCTATTTAGTGAAGAAAGGAGAGAAAAAAGAACTTCAATTTCGTGGTCTGTGTCTCTGATAAACGTGAGCCAGGCTCTGCATCTCTACAGAATCTTGGTGTTTAGTTTGTATTAAATATTTGCTCTTGCATGAAACCAGTTTTCTATTTTAAGATATTTAATGATAAGAAAACACGCAGTGGATACATAAGAATATAGTGACTCATTCTTATCTATCATTGTTCAGATATAGTACAATGGACCCACCACTCTGACTCAATGTGATTAAACCAGTAATTATTGCCATGACTGAAGAAGTTAAGCAAATGAATAGCACTTGACGACTGAATCAAAGAGAAAGGGCATTCCAGTTCTAAAGCTGCCATTCAGTCACTTTTCATGGATAAGGCACAAGGCATGATAAACCAGTTTTGTTTTTGTTTTTTTCTTTTCTCCCCGTTATGGGAATTAAAACCAACGTCTCATGCATACTAGACAAGTGCTCTACCACTTGAGCCTGCCCCTGGCTCCCCTTTAAAAAACTTTTTGTTTTGTTTTGTTTTTCAGGTAGGGTCTCACTAACTTTGCTGGACCGACCTTAAACTCTATATCCTCCTGTCTCTGCCTCCAGAATAGCTGGTCTTACAGAAATGAGCGACCACACCTGGCTCGATAAACCAGCTTTATTTCTTTATGTTTTACAGGAGTGTTTTTATTTATTTATGTCCCGAAATCAAAAGGGTTCAGGAGTGTTTGATAATGCCCTAGAGAAAGGCCCTCCCTTCTATCAACCTTGGTCAGAGAAAATGTATGACCAGGTAAATAGATAATGAGACTGTATCCACAAAGCATTTTCTCTATCATCACAGCAGCCCCATGCTATAGACAGGGTGGTTCTTTCTAGGTTTAAGGGGTCAATTCCAGGGTCCATGCTAGTGCAGCAGAGCCCACAGCAGTCATTCATCCAGCTTACCTGCAGGATGAAATACATTATAAAAGTATTACCATGAAAATACTTTTAGTCCCTTTGCAGAACTAAGCTGAGAAAAGCTAGTCAATTTTTGCTAAGTTTAAGCTTATCATATGAAAAGCATAGGATTTTTTGCAAAATCATATGAAATATCCTCTTATTTCTAATTTTAAAAAAGTTCATCTGTATTTGTCAATTAGTGAACAAAGCCACAATTCTGAGTGAACAGGGAAGTTCATACCAAAGTGTTGTCTGCTTTTCCACCTTCGAGGGTCACTTCCAAATTAGACAGTGCTGCTTCGACTTCGTCAACCTCAGACTCATGTGTAAGATCCTGTATGTCAGTGGACAATGATAGTTTGCTGATGTGATACTAAAATGAAAACAGAGGTTTGAGAAATGTCAACCGAAACAGGTCCATAAGTGATTTTCTTCTTTGAAAAGAATTCCCCTGGGATCCTGAGTACCTCCTGAAAGGAGATCTCCTGCCTGGGGAGGGAAAAAGGCATTTTCATCGGATTCACTTTAACACTCACAATTAGCATGCTTAAACATACTCTTCCTCATCACTGATTGTCCCTGTGATAGGAATTGCAAGACAATTCCTTTCATCATGCACACGTGAAGACTGGGAAGGGCATTTAAAACTTATTCTCATTTTCATTTCTTTCATAAGAGAAATGAACAGTCTGAAGAATATAAAACTTTAACCAGAACAAACGTGACTTGTCTCTTCAGAGAAAAGATCCCAATGTCCCCTTACCTGCAGTGCTGCAAAGATCAGCATCTCTTCCTCTGTGCAGTCGACTTCTTCCAGGAGGACAGCCCACCTGGCTTGTTCGTAGAGCTGGTTTATTCGGACAGCGTCATACTGGACAAAGAAACAGTGGTGGGTGTCTGGGGGGCCATATTTATATTCCACAACCCAAAAATTCTTGAACAACTGAGGCTATTCTTTGTGAGTTGGTTTAGACCCCTGAAAGGGACACCTCTATCTTTCCATTGCCTGGGCTCACTTCTCTTCTGAATTGAGAGCAGACCTTTCCCAAACCTCTTCCAGTGCTTCTTCAAGGTGCCAAACCCATCTGGCTTAGCATTCCCTCTCTTTACATTTCTATTGGTAGTAAAAACAGACAGTAAAAATGGTTTACATATAAGTAGTATAAGGCAGAAGGAGTCATAAGCTAGACTGCAAACAATGTAATCTCAAGCAGAATCTGACAGAGATTTTTGCTTTATTTTATTTTTTGGCAGTCCTGGGGTTTGAACTCAGGACCTTGCCCTAGCTAGGTAGGTGCTCTACTGCTTGAGCTATGCCTCCAGCCCTGACAGGGATTTTCGAATGGAACTTTATACTAATCCCCAAGTCAAGCTGAAAGAGACAATGTTCAGATATTGCCAAGAAGATTTTTAAAAAAAGAACAATGTTGTGACGGGATACTTGTGCTCTAGACACTGGCACACATTATAAAATATCAGTCATTAAAATAGCAGGATATTGACATGCTGGGGGACAACATGTCAACTGATACCTGGAAACAGACCTCTGTACCTCTAAATTCACATATTTAATATAAAGAAAAAATGGCATTTTTCTATCAGTAGGGAAAGAAAGAATTCAACACCGTATCAGTGTTAAAAATGCCTAGCTATTCAAGGTAACAAAAATCCAAGTCAAAAAATTATACCAGCCAAAAATGTAAATGACAGCTGGATTAAAGAATTTAAACATACAAACCCACAATGAGTTAGCACTTCACATCACACCCACTACAGTGGCACTAATAAAAGACAGATAATAACCAGTGCTGGTGAGGATGTGGGGAAAGCTAAATGCTAGTGCACTGCTGGATGTTAAGTGGCATAGCATCTGTAGAAGACAGTTTGGCAGCACTGAAACATAGACTACGATGAGCAATTCCACCCCTAAATATATAACCCTCAAAATGGAAAGCAGGGTCTCAGACAGATACTGGTACACAGCAGCATTTTCCACGATAGTCAAAAAATGGAAGTGACTCAAGTGTCCGTGAATGGATGAAGAGGTTGTATATGCACACAATGGAATATTACTCAGCCTTTTAAAAGCATGAAATTCTGATGGATGACATGACACGGATGAATCCTGAAGACCTACCAAGTGAAATAAGACAAACTTAAGATGACAAATATTGTGTGATTTCACTTAGATGAACTACCTACAATAGGCAAATTCAGAGACAGGAAATAGAATAAAGGTTACCAGAGGCTAGGAGGAGGAGTGAAGGGGAGTTATTCTTTAACGGTATACAGCTTCTGCTTGGGAAGATGGAAAAACTCTGAAAATTGGTAGTGGTAATAGTTGCACAATATTGTGAATGTACTCAGCGCCACCAAATTACCACCTAAAAAGATTAAGATGGCAAATGAATTGTACATATGTATACACATTTTACCACAATAAAAAAGTTAAAAAACCCCAAGCTTTCACATGAATTTTCATAGTAGCATTATTAATAGTAGCCAAAAAGTGGAAACAATTTAAATGTCCACCGATTGATGAATGAATATATATACACACAATGGAATACTATTTGGCAATAAAAAGAAATGAAACGCTTATACATACAATACAGATGAACTTCGAAACTATGCTAAGTGAAAGAAAGCAGTCACAGTACACCACAGGGGCTGGCTCAACATCCTCCAAAACCAAATGAGAACAAATATACATGAGCCTACTCATAGCATCACCATTCATAACAGTACCCAAACGGAAACAACCCCATGTCCCTCACTGAGCTGGCAAAGGATAAATAAGACAGGAACCTCACCCAAGGGCACTACTTGGCCACAAGAAGGAAAACGGTACTGACACCTGCAGCAACACATGACCTCAAACACACGCCTGGTGAAAGAATCCAGACACAAGAGATAACATGCTGTGTGGGTCCCTCTGCCTGAAATTTCTAGAAAAGGCAAAACTTGAGACAGAATGTAGACCAGCTGGGGCTGGGATCAGTGACTGACCAAAAGTGGTTTTGAGGAAACTTTCTTGAGTGATAGAAATGTTTTAAAACTGGATTGTGGTGATGGTTGCACACATGCATAAATTTATCAAAAAAATCATGGTATTATACACTTGCAGCGGGTGAGTTCATGGTACATAAATTATAGATCAATCAATACTTGACAATTAAACAACCCACACGCACAATGCACATGAAGCTGTGCATGGTGGAGCATACCTGTGATTCCAGCTATTTGGGAGGTTGAGATGGGATCGCTTTGACCAGCCTGAACAATGTAGCAAGACTCCATTTCAAAAACAAACAAATGAACAAACAATCTGCGCCACAAAAACATGCAGCTTCCTGTTCCCCAAAGAGCCCTGATTTAATGTACAATTTACAGATAAAATCTAAATGGTGGTGCAACCACTGATATTTGAATTGGATTAACAAAGTATCTTTCTTTCAGTCCCAGTGTTTCACAATGCTAATGTGGTTTAAAAACTGTAATAAAAGTTTCCTCACCTGAGCATCCTCACATCCCCCAAAAGCCAAATAAACTAATTCTCTATAAAAATATTAAATAAAAAGTTATTTACATTTACAAATTAATATTAAGCGAACAACAGGATCTAGAGTAAGATGTCATGGGGACATACAGGCTGAGCCCTGTCTCGCCAAAGAATACAGGAATTCTCTGTTCCTCCACAGAGCTTTGGGGGTTCCTCTTGGGATGCTTGTTCACATTCTAGCTGAGCACTGGGGGATTACAAGGTTCTGGAACTTTCACAGGTCATTAACAGGCATCCTGTAGGTCTTTATGGCTGAGAGAGTTCTCAGAGACGTCTCTAGTACTTAGGAACAAACTTTTCCCTTTGTGGGGATGGGGTACTCATGCCTCACCTTGGCCCTATATTTTCTTTGTTTTGGTTAATGGAAATTAGAAACCCCAAGCTGGAAGCACATGGAGCCTACCATCTCCATTCCTTGGATCTCTGCTTCTTCCTGTCTCATCAGTTTCAGTGAGTCAGTAGGTCCCCTTCCCCTTCCACCAACCAACACTATCAACAAATGACAAAATCCACCTATCATCATTGCCCTGCCCTCAACAAGGGCTACTCTTTACGTCTGATCACAAGGCTTCTTGTTAGCCTGGCAGCAGCTGTCAGGATGCTCAGTCAGTATTTAATATTAAAACTGGTGTGATTATTGTTTGTAGAACATGAAACACTGTGGAATATCCAAGTTTAGAGAATTTTCTTTCTTTTACTTCATGCACTTTGAACATATTTAGTAGAAGTAAAAGAGTATACAATGAATGGACTCGTTTTCAACGAATTCAGAAGTGATGAAATTTAAACTCCTTCCCTTCCTGTTCTTCACAAATCAGTGTCACTATGGTCTGTTTTGCAGCTCGCTCTGCCTCTGATTGTTATATTATTATATTATACTTTAGTATGGGGTGTGGTCGTGATACCTGTAATTGTAGCACTCAGGAGGTTGAGGCAGGAGGATCTTGAGTTCAAGGATAGCCTGGGCTACATACTGAGACCCCATTTCAAAAAAGAAAGGGAGGGAAAAAGGGAGGGAATGAGAGAGCGAGCGAGCTGACTCGTTCTTTTTAATAGCAGTGCAGTGCAAAAGTATCATAATGTATTTGAGCAGTTCCCTACTGATGGACATCAACGTGGTTTCCAGTCTTTTCCTAAAACAAATACAGTAATAATCTTCCTTGCACACATATGTATCAATTTGTATATGTAAGTATTACTGTGCTATAAATACTTCAGAGTAGATTTGCTGGATTAGCGCTATGTAGAATTGTAATTCTGATAGATACTGCCTTCCTCAGAGGCTAGATTAATTTTATTTTATCCTATAATCAATGTATGAGACTGGTCACTGAATCTTATTTATTTAATTCATTAAGGAATACATATATTACTATATCCACTTTGAAAAGGATTTTGGTCACTGTAGTTTGATATTGTTTCATTTTGTAGTCCTGTGTACTTCAGTTCATTAACCTGGAAACATTAATTTCTGACAGTTTTGAGTTTCCAGCCCCTGGTTTAGTTCTTGGCATCAGTTACTCAATAAGTAAATGAGAAAATACACAAATGGGGCAGAAGTTTGAATAGACAAGATGGGGCCAGATTACTGATGGGGCCAGATTACTGACTTAGCAACTAGAAAATGCCTAGGTATATATGAGTATATATATATATTTATTATATAGTTTCAGAAAAAACTGAAGGCAGCTTACTAGAGTAGATAGTATACAAGACAGTTTCAATTAACTTGGAATTAGGAGAGGAAAGACAAGCTGAGTTGGGAATGAGGCATAAAAATGGAACCACGGAAAATGTATGGATATGGTGCTAGCAGATAATGCAAAAAAAAGAAACCCAGACAGTGTTCTTAAAAAAGCAAACTAATTGTGTAGGAAAGCTGTACAATAATGTCTCCTGAAGGTTTTATCAAAGAGCAGATGTGCTCTTTTGCTGTGATTCACCTACAAAAGCCTCCAGACACAAGTTGGACCCATGGCATTAACTTCAATTCTAAACCAAGGACTGAGCAGGAGCTTCTCCGCAGAAATGACAAGGAACAGATTTATTTGGAAGATGATATCAGTTAGGGGAGATCCAGAAACCTAGATGGGCCTCTGAACACCAGGTTTAAGTTCAGGACCAATGTGAAGGCAGAAATACTGCTATGGCTGAGAAAAAAGTCTGTACTGAAAGAATGGCCAGGTAAGACAAGTGCCCAGAAGTAAATGGAGCTCAGCAAGCATGAAATTAGGAGACAAGCAATACAAGGAAGCTGCCTGGTCACCCAGAGCACCTGTCATCCAGTCTGTACTTTCCACAATGGGCCATTCAGCTACTGACTCTCAGCTCCACAAATTGGCTGTTCAGAAGCAAGGAAGGAACAGAAGTTCAAAGGACTCAGTTCATCTCTCATAAATTGTCCTAATAAACTTCAAGTGAAGATGTGCCCCGACAGTGGAGAATGGTGACCTGCTGGAGTGGTGAGTGGTTATTTAAACAGATGATCCCTTCTTCTCAAAGATTTTTCAGCACTGCAGTGGAGAGTCTTGTGTGGATCACCTCATGATCCACACATGTTCACCAGAATCTGCTCTCAACCCTGGCCTCTAACTCCTTTTCTTCCTAAATTATTGAGGACTCTGGCTCTATGAGCCCCTTGCCCTTGTCCCTTCATTTCTGTGAATGCAGAGAGGCAGCACACACCATCCTGGCACAAAGACCAGAACACTCCTAACTCAGGGACAGCTAAGCAAAATATGCAAGCTCAGAGGCCAAACTCCATGTGTCACTCTAATTGGCTCAGACCAAGAGATCACACAAATCAATCATAATTATGGTAAAAAAAGACTCAGTTTTACATTTTCAGGGATTCACATTAAAAAAAGAGATAGTCGGGCACCGGTGGCTGACACCTGGAATCCTAGCTACTTGGGAGGTTGAGTTGGGAGGATGGAGGTTGGAGGACAGCCCAGGCTAATAGTTCATGAGACTCTATCTCCAAAATAACCAGAAATGGACTAGAGGTATGGCTCAAGCGGTAGAGCTCCTACTTTGCAAGTGCAAAGTCCTGAGTTCAAATCCCAGTCCCACCAAGAAAGAAAAGAAATAAGAGAAAAAAAAACAGAAGAAAAAGTTTCTTACTTTTGGATTCAAGTCAAAGAAAGTGTAGTATTTAAATCGTAACAGTAGTTGCTCATCTTCTTGGATGCCTTGTTCCATAAGGGAGCGAGAGGAATCCAGCCAACTAGAAAACAGTAGGATGTGGTTTAAAAGTCAGTCAGTTTTACATATAAACCCATTAGGTTATGTTATATACTGTATTATATGCATTTATATCTTTGAACAAAGGCTGAGTAAGCAATATCACTCAAACCAGTGATATTACAAACCAGTGAACGTACATTTGCATATACATAATATATATATTTTTTCATTGATACCTGAAAGTAACCCATTGAAGGACCCAGAGCAGTTAGGGCAGGTTTTTTTTTGGAGACAGTGCCCGGGCTGCCCTAGAACTCCAAATTCTCCTGCCTCAGCCTCCTGAGTGCTGGGATTTCAAGCTTGCACCACCATGCTCTCAATTTTATAGATAAAGAAACTGAGTCTCAGTGATATTAGATGATCTGTTCAAGGTCATAGTTGCATGTGGAACCAGCAAGAGTCTGTATGTCTGACTGTACTTCCTCTCTACTCAACAGGTGGTTTACCCGCCAAGGAGGGTGGGTCTAGCCTATTGCTGGAGCTTTCTGCAATAAGGAAGTAATTTTTCATCAGGTGCTGTCCAATACAGTAGCCTCTAGCCACTTGTGGTGTTGCATATTTAAATGTAATAATGTTACCATTTTAATTTTAATTAATTTAGCTCCACATTTGTTTGTTTTTTGAGACAAAATCTCACTATGTAGCCCATGCTGACCTTGAGATCCTCCTGCCTCAACCTACCAAGAGCTGGTATTAACAGGTGTGAGCCACCACACCCAGCTTTCATTCCAAGTTTGAATTTAAATATTTACACATGGTTAGTGGTTCCTGTACTGGATATTATAGTTAGAGTTCAGAAATACAAAGTGGGTAATGGTGAAAAGTGGAGGTTAAAAATTAATAACAAAGTGATAAGGGGATGGCTGTCACCTAATACCACTGAATAAAAATGGCATGAAGTTCCATTCAGACCCTGTTGGGTAACAAGAATGATGAGATGTAGTCTACATCTTAAAGGAGGTGACAGTGGCCCAGAGGAGGGGGGAGGTGGCACACTAAACCTCCTGGGAAGAGAACAATGTGATATTGGGGCAAGAAAAGTGTTAGAAAGAACAGGACTGCAGGGAGTGATCGACTTGACCAGTGACACCTGAGAAGAAGGAGGCATATCATTGGGCCTTAGGACAAGCAGGCACTGAGCAGTAGGGAGGCAGTCCTGGAGGCAGGGCAGTGGCAGAAAGAGTAACAGGTATCCTAGGGCAGAATGGGGGATCTGAGGCCACATAGGATACAGAGACATTTGCTGGGGTCAGATATTACAGGGAGTTGAATGCTGGTAACAAGGTTGACTTAATTTAATGGGCATTGGAGAACAAAATAATTGGTAGTTTGAGAAACAGTTTGGGTGCATTTTGTAAGTCCATTCAAGGGGTCCAGGACTTGTTCCTTAGAAGACTGAAGAGAGAGGGGGTATTCTACAAAAGACAACATGGGCAGGGTGGACCATCCTGGATCTCCCCAGTTGGCTCATGGTGACCAACATGCTTATAAACTGCATCTTATAAAGTACACTTGGCACACCCACAGTAGCAAAGAATTATATTCACATACTGTAATCCACTGAATTATCTGAACATGCAATTTTGTCACACTTTCAAAGTACTGAAATGACCACAGGCTGCATTCATCCCTTTTTGCTGCTAAAGTCAGAACTGGCTTTTGATAATGAGGCACAAGCTCCAGGCCTGTTAAGTTAAAAATTAAACACTCCCATCTCTATGATCTCTTTCTTACTATGTCACACCAGTTCAGAGAGAAGCAAAATGGAGCCCATCCTTACCCTGCATTCAGCTTGGCTTTATCAACCAGAGACCGGGGTTGGTACATATCAGCCAGCGCTTCTGGTGACTGGGGAGGCTGGCTGAATGCAAGGATGCTGCAGTTTTGTTCCGTCAAAGGGCTGTCACTGAACCAAGTCATGGTGGATGATGCTGGTGTCCCGTTGATGGGGTCATATGTGGGAGTCATGGTCTTACTGTATAAGCCAGGATTTACTGCAAAGCAAGGGGAGACACACTCTAACAGGAGATTCAGGGCAGGAATCTTTAGAAAAAAAGTACATTCCTTGTACTAAAATGAAATGTACCGTTTAGAATCGTAATAGCAGTCAGGATAGTGGAGTATTAGTTACACACATGTAAAGATCTTGTCTGTATCTTCAGCTCTTGGAAACTCAAAGAAATAAAAGCTCCAAAACTCAACACAGATAAATTCTGGGGGACTACTTCTTTTCTAACCATTGAAAGTTCTCTTATTTTAGAGGAAGTCTGGACATTATTAGAGAACTGGAGACCCTCGCAGAATGCAGGACAAAATGTTTCAGACAGCTCCTTAAGCAAATAGTAACACTTGCCAATTTTAAGAACTAGCAGGTTGGTTATCTGCCTTTACTTTGCATGAAGTACAAATGCTTCTTTTATTCTTTGCATTGTAATTTACTATGCAAGAAAGCCTTCTGCATTGCAAGCAAGCTAGAGACTTGATTCTTTTGATATAAAAAGAAAGGATGGTTCCTCTCCAGAATTTTTCCCTTCCCTTCTCTTCCAGGCCCAGTGAAAACTGGAATTCAGGAAAGAATCACACAAAGATTCAGGAAGAGGGAAGTAGATTTGAAGGATTCAATTTATCTCCTTTCTAAATATCGCCCTTTCTCCAAATCCATGGCCAGTTGGACTAAAATTTGATATTCAGCAACAACATAAGATATAAAATTAAAATAAGGAGTAATTAAGCATACCTGTTAAAAAAACCTTTGAGGTAAATTTTTTTTAATTTCTAAATCTAACTGGATATTCCTTCCCCAACTCACCAGTCCTACAAATTGATCCTTCTTTTGTTTGAGGGCCAGAGAGTATGTGTGTGGGAGTATACTTTCCTCTTGGGTTTTAACCTACATTCAAAATCAAAACAACAGATCTCACCTGGTGAACCTGAACTTGTTGGAGAACTTTCCAGGTTTAGAATATCTTCAATTATGGGCTCCTTATTATTTTTGTCCTTTTTCTTTTTCTTCTTAAAATAGTCACCAGAAGGCTTTAACAAGGAAAGTTCTTCTGATCGTCTAATATCTAAAAACAAAACAAATTAAGAACAAGAAGAAAAATAAAAAGTAAAAAGAAAATTCCTTCTGAGACCGGCCATACCACCCTGAACGCGCCCGATCTCGTCTGAGACTCTGTAGAGTCATTTTACACATTTGACACCATGTCTCAGGAAATTCCTGAGCACTAAATGGAACTAAATTGCAACCCTTTAGATTAGATTGGGTCTGTTCAGGGTGGTATGGCTGTAGACAAACTGCAACCCTTTAGAAGGAACAGAGGAGAATGAAGACCCCTGAGGTGAGTGGGGGAAGTAAAAAGTGGAGGGAGGTTCGGTCTAGTGCAATTTCTAGTTCAAATATTCACACCCAGCTTCAACCACTGTTTTTATTTTTGCTATTCTGGTGAATCCATGTACCATAAATCTTTCTTTGCTTCCTTTTTTCCCTCCTCCCTCTCTTGCCCGCCTACACCCCCCACTTAAAAAGAAAGCAACCCACAAGGGTCCACCTCCATTTTTCTTTGTGGACCACAGATCCTGAAAGCCTTTCTCCTACAACTATCTAACAGCTCCTTCACATCGTTGGCCAACATCCTTATCCCTGCCATCTCACTAGGGCGGGGCAGGACACCTGGAGGCTTCATCAACACTGTTTCCCAGAGGTCACCAGTTGCCAGTATTGTCACTTGGCTGGTGGCATTCTCTTGTTGGTAGCTTGCTTGTTCCTATCTTACCTCCCCCTACCCCAATGGAGTATTTCCTGGTATTTCCTCCCAAAGAAATGGTACTTGACTGTCCTTATCTCAGGGTCTTCTGGGAAAACCAAACTGTGATAATCCCTCTTCTACTCATTTACCCATGGCTGTGTAATTGCCGATCAGAACTGCTGATAACTTGATCCACACTGAGTGGCTATAATCCCAGGTAAAAGCCAAGGAATGTGGCTGCTTGGGAGTTCTGGGCAGCTTTCCTAGAAATCAATGCACTGATTTCTTTTTTTTAAATTTTATTATTCATATGTGCATACAATGCTTGGGTCATTTCTCCCCCCTGTCCCCACCCCATCCCTTACCACCCACTCTGCCCCCTCCCTCTCCCCCCAACCCTCTCAATACCCAGCAGAAACTATTTTGCCCTTATCTCTAATTTTGTTGAAGAGAGAGTATAAGCAATAATAGGAAGGAACAAGGGTTTTTGCTGGTTGAGATAAGGATAGCTATGCAGGGAGTTGACTCATTAATTTCCTGTGTGTGGGTGTTACCTTCCAGGTTAATTCTTTATGATCTAACCTTTTCTCTAGTTCCTGGTCCCCTTCTCCTATTGGCCTCAGTTGCTTTTAAGGTATCTGCTTTAGTTTCTCTGCATTGAGGGCAACAAATGCTAGCTAATTTTTTAGGTGTCTTACCTATCCTCACCCCTCCCTTGTGTGCTCTCGCTTTTCTCATGTGCTCAAAGTCCAATCCCCTTGTTGTGTTTGCCCTTGATCTAATGTCCACATATGAGGGAGAACATACGATTTTTGGTCTTTTGGGCCAGGCTAACCTCACTCAGAATGATGTTCTCCAATTCCATCCATTTGCCAGCGAATGATAACATTTTGTTTTTCTTCATGGCTGCATAAAATTCCATTGCAATGCACTGATTTCGTTGGATCCTCTCATCCAATCAGGTCACACACTGCTTAGGGCAGAGACTGAACCTAACGGTACAGCTTGATTTTTCCCCTAGTAACCCAGGCTATCTGTCAGTTGCAAAACACAACATTCCAAATGCATATATTATGCACAGGCTTGATGATGACCCAAAAATTCCAGTGTAAGAATTAAACATAAAACAACAAAACAAAACACTTATTATTTCCAAGTCCAAGGAAAAACCATTGTACTGCCAAATTTGATTTAGCTTTAAAAGGCCATATTAGAAATGCCAAGTGGAGGCCAGGCATGGTGGTGCACACCTGTAATCTCAGCACTTGGGAGGTAAAGGTAGGAGAATTGTGAGTTTGAGGCCAGCCTTGGCTACATAGTGAGTTCCAGGCCATCCTGGGCTACATAATGAGACCCTATCTCAAGCAAGCAAGCAAGCAAAGAGAAATGCCAAGGGAAGCCCTTAAAACAATATAACCAGGAAAAGAGAACAATTTGACTGCTGCTGTTTATTTTGAAATCTCAAGTTCTTGGCCTTAGTATGATGTGTACTTCAGTCCACAGCATTGTTTTAAAATCTGCATTAGAATGTTACTAAAAACAAGGTGTCCCCATGCTTGTCATTTGCCTACCATGCATCAGGGACACTATTAGATTTTCCGTTTTGTAGTGGAAGTTTCCATTCACTGGTCACTTAACAGTGACTGAGCAGCTGGCATGGACCAGGCATTGCATTAGGATTAGGCACACAGAGACTCCAGGAAGAGGCTTCTGCCATCATCCTATTTTATGCCATACTGCCCGACACTGGATTCCCAATCCTGCTATACTTTGCCCCCTTTCCCCTATCTCCTCTTCACTTTTAACAGCCTATATTCTTTTCTTATATACTACATTTGTTGCTGTTTATCTATCTCTACAGAGATAGATAAATGTAAACTCACTGAATGTAGACTGAATATAGACAGAATGTAAACTCCACTGAAAAGGATTTTAGTGTTCTTTATCACCAATATTTCCCCAGCACTCACTACACTTCCTGCTACACAGCAGGTACTCCATAAATATTTGTTGAGTGAGTGAATGAGGGAGGTCATTCAATGATATTATCTATTCTGGGTCCAAATGTTGACTTCTGACCTTGGTACCAAAGAAGATACTTATACACTTCCAAAAAGTTAAAAACAAGAACACCTTTATGGCACAAGATTTCCTTCTTTTATGAAGTATCATAAAGAAAAAATGGTTCGAATCGATCTACCATTTGATCCAGCAATACCACTCTTGGGGATATACCCAAAAGACTGCTCCAGAGGCACCTGCACATCCATGTTTATTGCGGCACTATTCACAATAGCCAAGTTATGGAAACAGCCAAGATGTCCCACCACTGACGAATGGATTAAGAAAATGTGGTATCTATACACAATGGAATTTTATGCAGCCATGAAGAAGAACGAAATGTTATCATTCGCTGGTAAATGGATGGAATTGGAGAACATCATTCTGAGTGAGGTTAGCCTGGCTCAAAAAACCAAAAATCGTATGTTCTCCCTCATATGTAGACATTAGATCAAGGGCAAACACAACAAGGGGATTGGACTATGAGCACATGATAAAAGCGAGAGCACACAAGGGAGGGATGAGGATAGGTAAGACACCTAAAAAACTAGCTAGCATTTGTTGCCCTTAACGCAGAGAAACTAAAGCAGATACCTTAAAGCAACTGAGGCCAATAGGAAAAGGGGAACAGGTACTAGAGAAAAGGTTAGATCAAAAAGAATTAACCTAGAAGGTAACACCCACGCACAGGAAATCAATGTGAGTCAATGCCCTGTATAGCTATCCTTATCTCAACCAGCAAAAACCCTTGTTCCTTCCTATTATTGCTTATACTCTCTCTACAACAAAATTAGAAATAAGGGCAAAATAGTTTCTGCTGGGTATTGGGGGGGAGAGGGAGGGGTGGAGTGGGA